AGTAGGTGCTCGATAAAGTTCAGTCTGTTACATGGTTGAGTCTCCATTCTGTAGACAACAGACATAAGCATGTACTTTCTCCCCACAAAATATGTTCTATCTGTTTGGCTCGAGTCTATTTTATCTCATTTTTTAAAATGTTGGTTTTGACCACCTAAACCAGTGGTTCTCAACTGGGGATGATTTAGTCCCCCCTCCCCCACCCAGGGACCGTGTATGGTGACATTTTGAGTTGTTATAATTGAGGTGCTACTGGCGTCTATTTGGTAGAAGATAGGGGTGCTGTTAAACATCCTACAACACCCAGAACAGGAGCCCCCATGCACCGCCAAAACAGAAGGATTCTACCCCCAATGTCAGTAGGACCAAGGCTGAGAAACCCTGATATAAATTGATTTCAGGATCCACTAATGGGTCATGACCTGCAGTTTGAAAAGAAAACACCAGGCTTGCAGGAGCGGTGGGACCAGTAGATGAGAAATTAGGGTACAGTGATGTCGTGAGGCAGGAGAGGGTATTGGCTAAGAGATTGCTCTTGAAGGATAGGAAAAATCTCGGGTTATTCCCAGCCCTGCCATGTACAAACTCAGGCAAGTTTCACTGTCTTGAAGCCTGTTTTCTTATCTGTGGTGTGATAAGAGCAGGATTCCCCTCATTTGCAGGATCTCCAGAAATAACCCTACTAAATAAAGCACATAGCACTTCATCTAAAAACACTAAGACAGCCCCAGTGATTTTTTTTTTTTTTTTTTACAAAATAAATCATATCATGTCATGTTCTTCTTCAGAATGATGATCATGCTGAGGGCTTGGGATCTTAATTTGTTTTATCCTAAGTGCAATGGGAAGTTATTTGAAGGTGGCAGAATTGTGGCAGGTCTACAAGGAATATTATGTATCCTTTAGAAAAGAATGGGGTCGGGCGCCTGGGTGGCTCAGTTGGTTAAGCGACTGCCTTCCACTCAGGTCATGATCCCGGGGTCCCGGGATCGAGTCCCACATTGGGCTCCCAGCTCAGCGGTGAGCCTGCTTCTCCCTCTGACCTTCTCCCCTCTCATGCTGTTTCTCTCTCTCACGCTCTCTAATACAAATAAATAAAATCTTTAAAAAAAAAAAGAAAAAAGAATGGGGTCTGGATAAGCAGGATATGCAGGAGGCATTATGCAAAAAGTGGCAAGTTGCGGAGTGAGGAGGATGGAACCATACAACAGCCATCCTGAGCCATGCTGTACAGCATACATAGATATAAATGCACAGAAAATGTAGGGAAGGACACTCACCAGTAGGAAGGGTGAGCATTGTAACTGGAGGCAAAAGTCAAGGGGAAATTTCAATGTGTCCCTTCTATGTTTTATTAAGAGAATGTATTCGTCAGTTCCTGCAAAATTAAACACTATGAAGTCTGATTTCATCGACTCTATGAAACTGCAGGATTGGACCCAGAGCTGTGTGCAGCAACAGAGTCCCTGTGTTCCTGAAACCCACACGCACCTCTCTGCCTCCATTGGGTCTGCAAAGCACGAGTTTTCGCCATCGTTTGCTTTGCCACCTACAATCGCTACACTACGAACAGGCTGCACCTCAGGGCTCGTCAGTGCTTCAGGCTATGCCCCTCGCTCCTTAAGTTTCCAGAAACTCAAAGACGGTGCAGATTGGCATTCTTTGCCACCGTGCGTTCCAAAACGAGGACTGTGATCCACTAGCGGATCCTAAGTTTGGTAGGACGTGACCAGCGTTCTTTGAATGAAGTACAGTAGATTTTTAAAAATGAGATCATGGTGTTATACACAATGAGTCATGGATCAATACATCAAATACTCGTGAAGTACTGTATGGTGACTAACACAACATAATAAAATTTTTTTTTACAAAATGAGATCGTGGTTTATGACAAGAGTGAGGACTGTTTCACGACACTTTAGTTTCCGTTGTGTGTGTGTGCACGCGAATATGCATTCTTATCCAGGAAGTAAACTGTATTTCTTCCTAGAGCTCATTGTCAAAAGAAATTTGAGAAATACCCCTATAAAAATGGCCTCTTATTGGGCGCCATTGGTTGGTTCAGCGACTGCCTTCGGCTCAGGTCATGATCCTGGAGTCCCGGGATCGAGTCCTGCATCGGGCTCCCTGCTCAGCGGGGAGTCTGCTTCTCCCTCTGACCCTCCTCCCTCTCATGCTCTCTGTCTCTCATTCTCTCTCTCTCAAATAAATAAATAAAATCTTTAAAAAAAAAAAATGGCCTCTTATTTAAGAAGAAAGGCACACTAGGACCTCCTTTTGTTGGAGCTACGTTTAAGGCTGGGAAACATTGCTTTAGAACATTGCAAAAGGTAACAAAACTCTGGCAGGTGCACAAAATCCCTGGCAGCTCATAATCGTATCGGTTTATATAAAGGACTCGGCAGTTTACCAGATTCCTGTCTGGGGGGGAGTCCCTTTTCTGGGCTGTGGAAAGCTCCTGCAGGAAGAGAAGAGCAATGCCATTGGTTCCTCGTCCTGCACCAGTGGACTTCTGATTTTCTTTTTAATACAATCATGTCTGACAGCTTTGGTCTCATTTTCACACAGCTTTGGGGAAACTCTCTTCCTTGTGCAGTCTTTACCTCCTGGACCATTGCTACAGCCTCCCCATCAGCCTTCCCACCTCCCCTCTCCCCTCAACATCCACGGTATCCACACTCAGCAAAATCCACTTCCCTTCCTGTGAAGTTCTGTCATTTTCTTTGCCCTCCCAGGAAGGATACAGATAAAGCAGGTATGCCCAGGGAGAAAGAGAGGGACTGATCTCGTACGCGCCAAGCACTTACACGGGACTTCGTACCGGGCAAAGTTGCAAGCACTTTACTAATGCACGGACTCCACACAACAGTCTTATAAACTACGTGCTGCCATCCGCATGTAACTGTGAAGTAACAGCCCGTGTCCCCACAACTCACAGGGGGAACATACCAGCCAGTGTCCGAACCTTGGCCAGAATGATTCACCCTGGCTTCCCAGGAGGGTGTCCACACTCTGTCAGGAGAGGGGGTCTCGCTTACAAACAATGGCTACCAGTCATAACGCATTAAACACAGAGATACAGACAGTCACAGGGACAGAGACACACAGAGACATCATTAAAATCCTGCTGAATGTTTGGGGGGATGGTTAGGCCATACAGAGGAATTTGACCACTGGTCTCTTGCAACGGTAAGAATGTTTTTAATCTGGTAAAGGGCTCTCAAATTCTTCAGCGAGGCCCACGAAATAAGCAAAGTTCACACAAAACCTCTTGATGACTCTCTTTGAGGGCAGGGACCTTCTCTGCCGCAGTCGTTTTTGAACCCCAGTGCCTGACCCAATACCTTGCACATGGCGGTGAGTTCTCTATGTGAGGACACCGTCTCTGGATCATTCCTCCTGCAATACGATTCCCAGACAATGGCTGTTAATGTCCCTCCGAAGCCCTCCCACTCCCCCTTCCCTGGCCATGTCAGGGATGATCGGAGCAGAGGGGGCAGAATGACGACTGCCTCCGTTAATGACCCAGAGCCTCCTTCCATGCAGCCCCAGATCACCTAGGATGCTCACCCCTGCACAGGAAAGGAACCTTCTGCCTTGAAGAAACTCCCCTAACTGAGAGGTTTCATGCAAACAGCACTAACGGTGGGATGCCTGCTATAGGAGACTGAGCTCAGAGCTGAGCTACCCTACCAAATACAGGGGTGAGAGCAGCCCCGAGTGAGAGCTCAAGGAAGCTGTGCAACCTTGGGCGAGTGGCTTAGCTGGGATGAGGTCTCCACTCCCTCTTCTACAAAGGGGGAGGGGCGTAACAAAACCTATGGCTCAGGGCTGGTGGGAGGAGAAAGGCCTGGTAAAGAGTAGACACCCTAAATGTTTCAGGGAGCTGACTTTAAAGCCAGCCAGATGGAGACTCAAACCTGAGCTCTGCCATTCATACTGGCTGCGTGCGTTCCAAAACCTCTCTGAGCCTCTGTTTCCTTGCCTGCAAACTGATCGCGTCTACCCAATAAGACTGCTGTGAGAATTCACTGAGATCATACACGACAG